GGTTAGGTTTAGGGTTAGGTTTAGGGTTAGGTTTAGGGTTAGGTTTAGGGTTAGGTTTTGGGTTAGGTTACAGCATGCTTCTGTCGGTGCGCTGTTGTCGACGCGCTTCAAGGCTCATTCGTCGCTCCTTCGTCGCGTGGTTTTGTCACCGCGGTTTTGTCACCGCAGTTTAGTGAGGCGCGCTTTTGTCGTTCGCGCATTTGTGGTGGAACCAAGGATTCTTCCACTCAACCACTTCTCCTGAAATGATGTATGAACACAAGGGAACAGTGCTGTTTTCATATTAACTTCCATGTGATGAAATGGATTATGGTCTGTAAAAGCTTGTTAATATCACCAATTAATAAATATTCAGGGATCTGCAAGACTTCTTAGTGTCATTATATATGTGACTCTTATACTTCTGTTTGATTTGTTTAAAAAATGTGCCTCAAATGCTCCTGCTTCAGAGCTATGTAGACCAAAAGAAAGATTCAATTGTCCCTGCTTAGCCATGGCTTCTGCCATTTTCTTGAAGTTAGTGGAACTATTTACTGATAAAATCTCATTCTGATTAATGTATCAGTCCTCTCCACCTCTGGGCAACTGTGGATGAGCTGCACAGAGTTACTTTGAGGTAAAATGAGTGGGTTATACATTTTATTAATACATAAATATGAATAAATATAAATAATAATATTCAAACCCTTATCAAAGCTGAATTTCATCCTCCTCTGGCAATAAACCAATCTCTATTCTACTATATGCTGATGCTGCTGTAATATTGTAAATATTGTAGTTATATAGCATTCATGCTTCAGCATCGTATTACCAATGTGAAATACTATAAATCAATCACATGAAAACCAAGATGTTTGTACTAATCAAGCAGAGTGATATATTCACTAACCTCCATGTTTGGAAGATTAATAATTACCAAATTGAGTAATACCTCAATGACTCTCTCAGGAGATACAATGGACCTATCAAGAACATTTGTGTATTTGCTCAGACTTTAAAAATGGACAGGGTAACACAAGTACTTTGGGAATGTCCTATTTGCTCCTTTTGAATAGTAGACTTAATTACATCTCTAATTACAAACTTTTTAGCCCGCTCATATGGCAATCATGTGCTACTTACTAAATGGCTGATCATTAGAATTGTAGCCAAATTTTGTATTATCGCTATGACAGAAGTTTCTGTACCTGATTGGTTCTCCTGTAAAATATTTTATTCAATTTTTACATTCCATTTGCAATCATTTATATACAGGGTATTTACTATAAGAAAAGAAAAAAG